GGGGACACGGGGACGTTGGGGACATCGGGGAAATCATTGGGGAAATCACTGGGGACACGGGGACATTGGGGACACAGGGACATTGGGGACATCGGGGACACAGGGAAATCATTGGGGACATTGGGGAAATCATTGGGAAATCATTGGGGACATGGGGACATTGGGGACACGGGGAAATCATCGGGGACACGGGGACATCGGGGACACGGGGACATTGGGGACATTGGGATATTGGGGACGTTGGGGACACTGGGGACATTGGGGAAATCATTGGGGACACGAGGAAATCATCGGGGACATGGGGACACTGGGGACATGGGGACATTGGGGACGTTGGGGACACTGGGGACATTGGGATATTGGGTACATTGGGATATTGGGGATATTGGGGACATTGGGATATTGGGGACGTTGGGGACACTGGGGACATTGGGGAAATCATTGGGGACATGAGGAAATCATCGGGGACACTGGGGACATGGGGACATTGGGATATTGGGTACATTGGGATATTGGGGACATTGGGGACATCGGAGACATGGGGACACAGGGACATTGGTGATTTGGGGACATCGGGGACACTGGGGGGACATGGGGGATATCGGGACCTTGTCCCCACCCAGGTGACGCCGAGACCCCCCCCCCAGGTGACCCAGGGGTGACCCCGTGTCCCCCCCTCACCCTCGTTGTGCTGCGCCCGCCGTCGCTCGTCCCGCGGCACCCGCGGCCCCTCGAGCTTCCTGCGGGGACAGGGAGGGACAAAGTGGGGCGCGGGCACCCGGCACAGGTGTGTCCAGGTGCGTCCAGGTGTGTCAGGGTGTGTCCAGTTGTGTCCAGGTGTGCCCACGGCGCATCACGGCGGTTTTGGGGGGCGCAAAGGTGCGTTTTGGGCACGTTTGGGGTACGTGGGACACGTCCGGGTGTTCCAGGTGCATCCCCAGGTACTCCCAGGTGTGTCCCCAGGTACCTCCCCAGTGTCCCCCCAGGTGTCCCAAGTGCCCCCCACATATTCCAGGTGCCCCCCAACTGCCCCAGGTGTCCCCCAGGTGTGTCCCAGGTGCCCCAGGTGTCCCCCAGCTGCCCCAGGTGTGTCCCAGGTGTCCCCAGGTGTGTCCCAGGTGCCCCCCGGGTATTCCAGGTGCCCCCCAGCTGCCCCAGGTGTCCCCCAACTGCCCCAGGTGTCCCCCAGGTGTGTTCCAGGTGCCCCCCAGGTGCACTCACGGCGAGTAGGGGTGCCCGTGGGGGGCGAGGCTGCGCTGGGCCCCCCCCGCCTGCAGCACGTCCTGGGGGGTCATCATCACGTAGAACTGACCTGGGGAGGGGAGGGGTCACTCACCTGGGTGCCCCCATCCCCCCCGAGACACCTGAGCCCCCCCAGGTGTGGGATCAACCCCCAGGTTTGGGGTTGCCCCCCAGGTTTGGGGTTCCCCCACAGGTGTGGGGGATTTCCCCCAGGTGTGGGGTTGCCCCCCCAGGTCTGAGGTCCCCCCCCAGGTGTGGGGTCGCCCCCCCAGGTTTGGGGTCCCCTCCCAGGTTTGGGGTCCCCTCCCAGGTGTGGGATCACCCCCCCAGGTGTGGGATCCCCCCCCAGGTGTGGGGTTGCCCCCCAGGTTTGGGGTCCCCTCCCAGATGTGGGGTTCTTCCCCCAGGTGTGGGGTCCCCCCCCAGGTTTGGGGTCGCCCCCCCAGGTGTGGGGTTGCCCCCCCCAGGTGTGGGATCACCCCCCCAGGTTTGGGGTCATCCCCCCAGGTTTGGGGTCCCCCCCGAGGTGTGGGGTTCCCCCCAAGGGTTTGGGGTCCCCCCCCAGGTGTGGGATCTCCCCCAGGTGTGGGGTCCCCCCCAGGTCTGAGGTCCCCCCCCAGGTGTGGGATCTCCCCCAGGTGTGGGGGTTTTCCCCCAGGTTTGGGATTGCCCCCCAGGTTTGGGGTCCCCCCCGAGGTATGGGGTCCCCCCCCAGGTGTGGGTTCCCCCCAGGTGTGGGATCTCCCCCCCAGTTATGGGATCCCCCCCCAGGTTTGGGGTTCCCCCCCAGGTTTGGGGTTCCCCCCCAGGTGTGGGGGTTCCCCCCCAGGTGTGGGATCTCCCCCAGGTGTGGGGTCCCCCCCAGGTGTGGGGGTTCCCCCCCAGGTTTGGGGGATTTCCCCCAGGTGTGGGGTTCCCCCCCAGTTATGGGGTCACCCCCCCAGGTGTGGGATCCCCCCCCAGGTGTGGAGGTTCCCCCTCAGGTGTGGGGTCACCCCCCAGGTGTGGGGTCACCCCCCAGGTGTGGAGGTTCCCCCTCAGGTGTGGGGTCACCCCCCAGGTGTGGGGTCCCCCCAGGTTTGGGGTCCCCCCCAAGGTGTGAGGTTCCCCCCGAGGGTTTGGGGTCCCCCCCCAGGTTTGGGGTCACCCCCCAGGTGTGGGGCCCCCCGTTACCTCCAGCCTGGGCCAGGGCGGGGTCGGCCTGCACGGCCACGGCCCCCTCCCCCCCCC